ATTTATGAAAAAATATTGGATGAATTTTTCTTTTACATTTGTAGTACGCTAAATAAAGGCTTCGGGCGTGATTGAKAATTTTAATAACCATTTTTAATATTATTTTAAAATCTTTTAGATGTTGATAATTTTTTTGTTGTGAGCTATATTATCAACATTCTTAAAGATGTAGAAGTATTTTTGGGCTAATATTAGGCGTTAAACTTAATTGGAATCTGTTATAATAACTTATGTAAGTATGTTAATAAAAATGGTATTTTTGTAGTTATGCGATATGGTACGGTGAGCAGGYAGATGTGGAGGTCAAGCCCAAATTTTTTTAAGGTTTCACATTTCAAACAAAATTAATTAAGATTAATGTGTTATTGTTAAAATCCATGTCGACATTGCTATGTTACCCTGCTTGTAGAGAGGTTTCCTGTTCTTTTTGCGTCAWGTCTGCTATGCAGCCCTGGAAGGGGTTGGGGGGAGTGAAGTAGAGACTAACATTTTGTAGCCATAATATAAKATTGCAAATGTTTAAAGTGCTACTACGACGAAAATCGCTCAAACTTGGATTCAGCTGAAACTTTCTAAGAATACTCTTTTAAAGGTTCAATAATCACTGTATGAAGTGTTTTCTCGATATTCAGGACGAAAGTATGATATTTTTACGATTATTTTTTGGAGTCTGTGACGTCATACACTCAACATCGAACATCGCTCCATACATTTCTTTGTAGTTAATGATCAAAATATCAGTAGTAAAGGGAGAAAGAAATACCCAAACACCCCAAAATATAAATTATGGTCACAAGTAATGTGAAATAAGCACATTAGCCACCCTTTGGGCTTCATAGGAATAAAATAAATTAAGGATTTATATACAAAGAAATATATGTAGCAATGTTTGATGTTGAGTGTATGACGTCACAGACTCCAAAAAATAATCGTAAAAATATCATACTTTCGTACTGAATATCGAGAAAACACTTCATGCAGTGATTATTGGACCTTTAAAGAGTATTTTTAAGAAGTTTCAGCTGAATCCAAGTTTGAGTGATTTCCATCGTAGTAGCACTTTAATCAATAGCTAAGTAGATGTGGGTGGCAAATGGGGTGCCTTTGTGATTTTAATGTGCTAACCATCTTAACAATACGTTTTGTCACTTTGTTTTATTGGATTGTCCAATAGATTTCTTGTTTAAGCAATTTAAATCAGTCAACCTAAACAACCAAATTTTCATCATCATATATATGCTCAATATCCTAGTATTTTCACAACATGTTCATATTTTATTAAAATTTCTAGGAACAAACTGTTCCAATACATTTTATGAAATTCTGTTTAATTGCATAAATATAATAATTTTTATTTGAGGTTGTAATGTTGCCCTCGGAATGCAGAATGGAAAAATTCAGGACTGGCAATTAAGTGCTTCTTCCAAAGATCTTGGATATGGACCAACAAGGGGACGGTTGAATGGAAATGGAGCTTGGTGTAGCCAAACTGAAAAACCATGGACAGACTATTTCCAGATAATACTGGACAAAGTACRGCATGTGTCTGGGCTGGCTACACAAGGTTATTCAACATTTATTTTGGGTTCCTATTGGGTAAAAACATATGCCGTGAAGTACAGTTATGATGGCTGGACCTGGTATTGGTATAAAGATCAACCTTTGGCTTCTAYRAAGGTAATATATACTGTACTGTGCMYTCATCCTTAATAATRATAATAWATATGTTCTTATATAGCACATTATAGATTCTCAATGTGCTTTACAAACATTACGATGAAATGTTAAGTGAAAAAATAGATTTCCTTCTAGTAACATTAGTTGTTTAGGGCGAAATCAATAATGGATGATCATGTACGGAATAGGGGATGAAGAGGATATTATACGATTGAACAAGATTTAAGAACTCTCCTCTTAAAAAAAATTTGTAATCCTAACTATTGTTCTTTTAGTTTTTCATTTATAGTGATAGAACATGCAATTGAAAAAAAAGGATTTTTCTGACATAGAAGTGTAGAAAGAGGGGAGAGGAGGTGAAAGGGRAAGCCCCCCTTGATCGTTTTAATTTTTGTCAGTCAGAAATAATTTTAATCAGATTCATCAAAAGAAAATGAGTTAAAATTCAAACCAAACAGCACTCACTCCCACCATTTCCAGTCCTTTATACACCCAGCCCTTCTGAGCTATAAGGAACCACATTATATGCATTGACAGGATATTAGATTTTAATTTCAACCAAACAAAAGGCCGAAGTATGTAATTTATACATGATTTAATGGCTCACCACATTAAAAAATTCATAATGAATTTCACACAAGGTGGCAAGAAAAACCATTTTATTTAGCTGATGGTCCATATATGGCTGTATAACATAACAAATACATTTTGTGGTTTCACGCAATAATTGAAATGTCAGGTGTGCTCCAGATGCCTGATGTCTACAGATGTGGTAGCTACTATGGTACTTACTACTCAATAAACACATTTGACTTTTGCAATTGCAATTGTTGATATTGAAAGTCAAAAACATCTTTAATTGCTAACCAACTACTAGAGACACTTTAAATATTTTAAAACCCTGATGAAAGACTTAAACTAGTCAGATTATATAAGCTGAATTATTTTGTTTTCAAAACTTAGTATGACAAATMTATGCTAAAAGTAATGATCAGATTGGCAAAAATCTTTTTTGATTGTGTTTTAATATATTTTTAATAACACTAGACATATGTTTTGTCTTCTAACTAATTTTTTTGAATTTTTTTTTAAATTAAAAAAAAAAAATACTTTGACTTTTTATAGATATGGAATTACATGTAAAATAATGTTTTCAATTCAATTTCTTTTTCCTTTTTTGAAGGAATTTGATGCCAACACAGATGGAACCACAGTAAAGGAAATAAGCTTTCATGAGACATTTGTCACAAAGTATCTGAGAATATATCCAATCACATTTGAAAATGACATGTGCCTGCGAGTTGAGATATATGGTTGCCCTAATGATAAAGGTAAGGAACTGTTACTGGAAATGGAATTTTTTTTCTGTATGCAGCAGTCCAGTAGCAAGGGGAGCCGCAGCCCCTCCAGCTTTTCATTTAACAACACAAAAATAATCAGTGACACAAACGCAAAATGACATTATGTAACCCCCCGCTCCACATATCCAGGCCTTACTACAGGCCTTTACTGGGGGAGGGGGGGTTGTTGTGTTTTGGGGGTGTTCAGTGGGTATAGGTGTGTACTGATTTATAAACTATGAACATTGACTATTGTAGTATTGTTATAGAGTATACTCTTATTATAGATTACTAGGTTACCTTAGGTTAGAGCCAGCGAGTGGGCAGCGGTTAATTGTATTTGTTGCTGGTCGCCATGTTTTGTTGAGTAGAAGGTTTTTCAGAATAAAGCCTTACAAATGGCCTTCATTCTTCTTTAAATTGCTTCACAATTCATTGCAAGGTGCACACCTCTATTTTCTAATTTGTTTGTTTGTCTTTATTATTATCAAACTTTATACTTCTTCATTTCTCAGACCCAATAACACCTTGATGTACAGTCTAATTTATTAATTACTGCCCATGACATCTATGTTTTATCATCATCATTTTTTATTTCTTTTGTACATACATCTTTGTGATATGGTCTGCAGGCATCGCAATACTTCATGTCTATAGCAAAAGTACCATTGTGATGTGAATATGCCAATCATTTTCACAAAAGCTGATCACAAGTTGCTTTGTGTCACCAGCCAATAGATCTCTGGTTGGCACAAGAATAACAAAGGCTTATGTCACTCATTATCGTTATAATATTTTCCCATTTAAAATCTCTTGAGCCCAGGAGTGGGGGGGGGGCTCTACCACCCCAACTTGGGTAGGGGTGTGCCGCAAGGACCTCAAAACCCTGACCCTATCCCAGACCTAAAATTTTGATTTTACCCTACCGCAGACTAAAACTAAACTAAGAATTGTATACCCTATCCCAGACTAAAAGACGGAAAATACGGTTTTACAATCAATTGCAAGCAATATTTACTAAAATTATACCCAACCCCCCCCCCTTGGGCTCTTGAGAATAGTTTTTTTGTTTTGAATAGTATCAAAAATATTAATATATCTTATTGCAATCATCTCGTTGTCTTGTTTAGTAAGTTTGTTTCATGCTTCACAGATACATGTACCCAGACAATAGACCAGCCCACAGGAATCATCACCTCACCAAACTACCCCTCCCCGTACCCCAGGGGAGTAGATTGTACCTGGATAATCACTCTGCCAGACACATCCAAGCAAGTTGGATTATTCTTTAAAAATTTTGACGTCAACGATGGTGCGTCTTGGTTGTGCTTTGGTGGTGATTACTTTGATGCTCTAGATGGGCCCACTGATGTATCATCCTCTATTGGTCACTACTGTAATGGCGAAGATATCCAGGTTGTCAAGGCAACGGGAAACAAGCTACGCGTTCATTTTCATTCAGAGTCTGGTACTCATCCAAGGAAAGGATTTGAGGCCCAGTTTGTTTCATTCATCAAAGGTATTATCATCCTATTAATTCATTACTATTATTTTCTTTATAATTTGATTGGTTGGTAGATGGATTGAACCAAATGTACGTGCTGATTGGCTGCAGGATAGTGTATATATTAATGTTGTAATGATTCTTGTTTCAGTAGTTTATTTCTGACTACGGATAACACAGTACAAAACTACAGTATATACTTAAAATTAACTACGACGCGCAATAATCTGATACACGAGTCTCTAAATCACGAGGCGTGACGTGTCACACAATCACAACAATGTCTTAGGCTATTCACATGAAAACGCAAGCAAACACAAGTTTGAACATCGTCATATTACATGCGTTAACCTGTACTGACCCGTGCTGACACACGATATTAATCCTGAACATGCTTATATTCCTTACCAAGAGCTGGCAACTTGTGTCTCATGCGTGAGGTGTAATCCTTATTTCAACCTACGAGAATTCTGAACTCGGGGAGCCTATTGCTAAATATCCAGACTCGTAATTAATTCTAAAAGGAATTTTCATTATAAAGATTATGTTCACTATCCCATTGACCGAAATCCCATTCCCATAACTTCAAATCCCATTTTTCAAGCACAAAATCACAATAATAGCGCAGCGCAGTCGTGACGTCATAAAAACGAAGACAAAGGTGAAATTCGGACGAACAAACTTTCAAGTTTACTTTCAGCGGACAATTTTCACAGCCGATCGCAGTTGATCTTAGTTTACATGGGTTATTATTGTAACTTTAAGTAAAAATAATAAAATTGGTTCGTATAATCCTCGTAGTGGTTAAACAGAATGCAATGTTTGTCCGAATCTTCAAGCTATTTTTAGAATCAGTGCGCTGCGCTATTGATACACTCCTTTAGCACTCTCTTCAGGGCTATCAATTATTCTCATAAACCAATCTGTCCCTTCTCATTCCGCATCACCTCAGGGGTCGATGATATTCAGCTTGGTGAAGCCTGCAATGGATCAACGTTACGTCTTGACTGCGGTTCATCCCCATCCAAGTCCATCAAGATACTGCATGCTTGGTATGGTACGGCTCCCTTTTCCAGTCACTGCGGTAGTGTACCTACCAACACCACCTGCCAAGCGTCTGGTGCGCTGAACACTGTTACATCTCTGTGTGAACACTACGAATCCTKCCAAATTGATGTATCTAGTCGTCAGTTTGAGCTATCCTGTGGATCTGGTCTTGTACCTCGGTTGACTGTTTATTACCAGTGCACTGGAACAGTCATTAAAAGTAAGGCTTAAAAAGGGGTTAGCCACTTCTAAAGTCTCTTTCAAAATGTTTTGCGCGTAATTTTTGAGATTTTTTGGGGGTCGGGTCGAACAAGATGACAATTTTTAGAATTGCTAGCAGCTAGTAATCTTACGAAACGTTTGTTTCGAGGTTTTGTATTGGTTTTGCCTGCCTCCGAGGTACTCGCTGGCCTTTGAAATTTGTACACCATGCAAGCTTTGTTCTCGGCTGAGCAAATCAGTCTCACTTGGCTTATATGTTCAAGATCTTAGGAATAGTTAAATGTTTTGCCCTCTAGTGCGACCCGGGACTTATGCAACTATATGTGCTTCAAAATTACTATGCATCGCCAAATTGTCACGATTTTCATGATAACGTGATGCAGAAAATTAGCTATAATTTGAGACATCTGGTTTTTTATTTTCCGTCCAACAAATTTCCAACGGTCTGAAATAGTATTTTTGTTTTTGACAAAAGCCAAGTACTTAGTCGTCCTGGGCTGTGATAGTCGCGTAATTTATCATGACGGAGCGCTAGCGATCATTCTTGCTCTTTTTTATAGAATTGCTTTTATATCGCTTTGCGAACAGCTTGTTCAACTGTTGTTCAACTATCTTATTGCTAATTCATAGTATAGATTTTCATAAACCCGTGAAACAAATACCATTAGTTAGTGTATAATAGTGAAATGAGAACAAAAGAACACAATGGAATTAGGGTCTAGTGTGTATTTCACGGGTTTAGGAAAACCACTCTACTATAAGTTATTTTCTTTATGTGTTAATGCAATAGTGATGTTGAACCTGAATAACTATATAGCGAAAATAACTTAAATCTTAAACCTTTTGGCAAGGAAAAACACTGACTAATTCGGTTTATTGTGTTTCTTAATGAACTTGAATTATTTCTCTATTTTTTCCAGCTTCTCCTACTAATTTCTAATATTCATCCAACAACTTGCACTTCTAATACTACTTGTCACCTGTATGAAGATAAATGTGATAAATGATAAATAAGTGATAAATTGATAATATTAATATTAATCCTTTAACATCCCTTTTTCTAGCACTACCACCTACACCAAGCACCACTACRTCAGCACCTAGTACGTCATCCCCTCCCTCCTCTACTAACATATCCCCTTCGCCTAAAACAGACACCATTACCACGATAACACAACAATTTACATCACTTCCACCGAC